TTCAAACCATGACCTGGTAATGTATTATCCGTCAGGTGACAGTTTTAATCCGATTGGGCATGCTGAAACAAATTATGCAGGTTATATTGTGGACAGGAAAAGCACTTCTGTAATGGCTCACTTCTTAAGTTCATGCCTTATCTCTTGGGGCACAAGGAAGCAAAATTCGGTGGCTCTTTTAATAGCTGAAGCTGAATATGTAGCCACAACATCCTTATGTGCTCAGCTTTTATGGTTCAAGCAGCAACTGGAGAACTTTGGGGTACTCACTGAGAGTGTGCCCCTTCTATGTGACAACACCAGTGCACTCAACATGGCTAAGAATCTAGTTCAACACAAAAGGACAAAGCATATTGATGTGTGGCATCATTTTCTGAGGGATAATGTGGAGAAAGGGCTGATATGTATGAAGTTCTGCAGCACAAAAGATCAAATTGCGAACATATTCACCAAGGCGCTAAGTAGGGAACAATTTGAAAGAAACAGAGTGAAGTTGGGGCTTTTAAAGTCCAATTGAGAACATGATTCCTCTTTATCTAGCTTTCACCTTCAAGAAATAACTGGCTAAAAGTGTTTTCTCGCCATGTCTAACTCACTTCAATACCATTGCAGGTAAACACACATGATGAGTATAGAAGTTGTAGATGCAGTGCTTGCATGATAAAAGAGGATTGACTATTTCAAATAAAAAGGTCAAGAACCTGGTTCTTGTACCAAAGGTTAGTAGTTTTGTGCATCCTTTAATACACGTCTTAAAAAGGGTATAAAACACAACTGCCATGTCATCAACTTTTCTGATCCTGCTATCACGTCTCTTCATTTCAAATCGTTCCATCTCCCTCTAAAACATTGCAATTCTCTATGCCTAACCGCCGTTTCAGAACCGGTGCCTATTCCTCTTTCTTCATAATTATCCTCTCCTTTTAAAAACCCTATTTTCTGGTCTCCTAACCATAAGTCTTCCATTAGAATTTCCCAAAAACATCGTCTTTTCTTTTTTAATGGCTGAGACAACTTCTGATCTCCCTGCCTCAGTTGTAACTACTACTAATCAATCTCTGGAGCCTTCCGCTCCCACTGAACCTTCCTTATCTACTATTACTCCTGCTGCTACAGTTACACCTCACCCAATTTCCTAGTGTCTTGCTAATTCAGAATCCCTTGACACTGTTGCTTCGTTCTCCCCATCGTCTGAGGCTCCCCCAATCAAAAACCATGTGGAGAACAAGGTCAAAACCCTGAGGTTACAATGAGTTCTGCCATCATTACTACCAATTCCATGGTAGTGGTAGCACCATGCGAGGAAGAGACAAATGTTGTAACCGTGTTTGTAGTGTCTGCTAATGGTGTACTGCATGAGATCACCTCTCAGATAAAAGAGGCATAAGGTGTGGGGGAAGAAGGGCCGTTGTAACTTTTGAAAGGGATGCACTCACAGATACTACTGGGGCATCACATGAGGAACCTGATCCCTCTCCGGAGGACACAGGTCAGGGCTCTCATTCCCATGACAATGTTGTTCCTACAATCGATGTTATGCCCTTGGAAATTCAAGCACCTGAAATAAGATCAAGTGATGAAGAAGACCTAGACAATGTGGCTCTTGATGCATTCATAAGCAAGCGGAGGGTTATGTCCACTCCTGAGTCTGAAACCAAATGACCTACTACCGGGCTTCAAGTTAAGGTGGCCTACAATTCTGCTCTTCAAAAGAGCAAGAAGAGTAGTAAGAAGAAAAGGAGAAAGTTGGTGAAAGACGATGTACCTGTAAGTGATGAGGCGATCCCTGTAGTCGAGGTCGAAGAGGAAACCCTAGATGAACCTGGTTTACTTGTTAGACGGTCTTCAAAAAAGACGAAGCCTGCTTTAGTAGAGAAGGGGTCAATATCTAGGTCCAAGATGAAGAAGTTAGTAAGTGAGTTTTTGATGTCTTATAAGGATGTGCTAATCAAATCCAAAGGAAAAGGAAAAATCAGTGGAGAGAAGTCCGACAAACGCAAGTTTGAAACTTTTGAAAACACTGGTTATGTGAAGAGAATGAGAAGCGAAGTCAGCCTTGTCTCTGAACGCTTGAGGCATCAAAATGTTCTGTTGGGTCGTACATTTGACCCAACAATCTCTGAAATGGCTGGAATGCGCCAAATTCTGGAAATGGTTGAGTTTCAATGTTGGGCGCATCTATTTCAAACTGATGCACCTAAGGTATACGAGGATAAGGTACAAAGCTTCTTTGCTAGCTTCTTTCCAGTTGAGACTGACCACATTTGTGCCTTGGTCAATGGGGTGGACATTATGTTCGATGTAAAGTTGCTTGGAGAGATCCTAAAAGTTCCTATAGCTGGTGTGTCCAGTGTAAAAGATGTGTGTCAGTTTAATTTCAGAAATGCTGTTATAAAAACCAATGCAAACCAGAAAGGGGACCAGATCCATAAGAAAGTGCTACTCCCTGTCTATCAGCTGCTGTTCGAATTGGTTAACAAAGTTCTATTGCCTCGAGCTGAGAGGAGGTCAGTGACTTCTAAGTCTGACCTATTCTTGATGGAGCAACTGGACAGTTTTACTCCTGTGAGTCTTCCTGCTATTATGATTGAGCACATGCAAAAGGTTGCCACTTTCAAAAATGGTAATCATGGTCTTCCCTATGGGTTCCTGGTTACACAAATGTTCAGATTCTTTGAAGTCCCACTGGGGATAGGCAAGGTGGGAACTAGGAAGCAGACTTTATCGCAGACAACTTTGGAAGAGTGCGAGTGCATGGAAAAGAATGGGGGGTATCAACCGCCTCACAGCTTATTAATGCTCAGAACAGTGCAACTAAGGAAATTAGTCGGTTGAAGTCCAGGAATGCTATCTTGGAAAGTCAACAAGCCCAAGGGGTTCCGGTGTCAAATGATGAAGTGGCTCATTTGACAAAGGAGAATGTTGATCTCAGGGCGCAAGTAGAGAACCTGAAGGCAGAACTGCTCAATGAGCAAAAGTCAGGAAATGCCCGAATAGACCTCATTCTGCAAACACTTGCTGCAGCTTCCAAGCCCTTTACTCCTAGTGCCCCTTAAGTACCCCTTCAGTGACCAGTTTCTAGAAATGTTTGTTATTTTTTCTTTGATGTTTTGGCGGATGTTTTTGTTTTCTTTTTTATGTGGTTGGGATGAAACACTACTCCTCACGTTTTAATAAGTCCAATGTTGCCTTTCGCTTTTTCAAAGCAAAGACATATTAAAGTTATATTAATATCAATCCTTATTTTATTATGCCAGTACTTTCCTTCTGTGTTTCTATTCTCTATCATGATTGTGTGCACATATGTGGCTTGAGTTAGCTTATCTGGACTTCTTTGTACTGTTATTCTTTCTTTTTTAATGATGCCAAAAGGGGGAAAAATAACACGGGGCCTGTGTTTCAGGGGGAACCTGTGTTATCCTGATAGAGTCAGGGAAAACTTGTGTTATCGTGTTACATAATCCGGTTCTTACTGTTCTAAATCCACTCTATAATTGTTAAGTATGTCATCATCAAAAAGGGGAAATTGATAAGTTTTAAATGTTCTTGCCTTATGTTTTGATGATCTAACAAACTTACTGTTAAGAACCAGATAGGGAACCTGACCTACTCGGACTATACTGCAAGCTTAACTAATTCCATCTAAATGGAAACTGCTACAGCTTCAGGAGCTAGGAATCCAAACAAGGACCTGATACCCTTGTGGTTTCCTCATCACAGTACAAGTCAATTGGTCACATCTGGAAATGAAGTGACTGACTGCACTATTTTTGCCGCACTGCACTGTCTCCAGCGCCCACTCATTCTCTGACCAACTAAAGTGCTCACATCATTTCAAGTGATGTGATCAAGATGTACCTACAATGAGTTTATACAAAACATCACTTGAAGGTTTCAGTTTCTCATTCAAGCTTCTTGCAAAAAACAGAGAAGTCAATCCTCACAAGCTTGAAGAACAAAGTTGAACGCAACTACGGACCAGTTCCTAAAAGATAGCTTGTTGTTGTCCTAGTTGAGTTGTAACTTTGTGATTGTACTTATTGTATCTCCTAAACTGCTTAGCTAGAAGCGTTTGATTAGGAATCCTCTTGTAAATCCATAAACTCCTTGAGTTTATGTTGTGACTAGGTATGTCATAAGCAAAAATCTTTGTAATCGTAGAGTTACAAAGTAGCTTGTGGTGAGAGAATCACAAGTTAGTAAAAGCCTTTGTAACTAGGAAGTCACAAAATGGCTTGTGGTAAGAGTACCACAAGTTAGTTGAGTAAATTCTTTGTAATGGAGTCATTGCAAAGTGGCTTGTAATAGGTTTTTACAAGTTAGTGAAGCTTAAAGCCTACAAGTATAGGTCGTGGTTTTTTGATCCCCTTGTGTGAGATGTTTCCACATAAAAATCATCTGTCTTATTTACGTACTGCTTTATTCGCATTCTCAGCAGAATCTCGTAGAGAACCAGATACTCTACTGTTTGGTGGACTCACACAAACTAACACACACGCACCAATCACATGAGGCCATATCATTTTCTTTTTATTCATTATTTATTTCATTTATCTTTTGTTTTTCTTTTCTTTCTTTTTGTTTCTCTTTTCCTTATTCTTTTTTCTTTCTTTCTTCTTCTCCGTTAACATTGCCACCACTTTAGCCTCCAATATCACTGCCATAACAATCATATCCACCACTAAAATCATCAAACCACCACTAAATTGAAATCAAAAACTAAATCACCACCAAATCATAACCCTAAAATTCTAAATTCACCACCTAATTAAAATCTGAAAATTAAAGTTAGCATCTAACCAATATCTGAAAATTAAAATCATGATTAAACTAAAATCTAGAAAACTAAATCATCACCAAATCAAAATTCTATTGCTACGATTCTGGATCATTCTTCCACAACAATATTAGGGATAAAAATAAGAAATAGACACAAAGAAAGAACTGGTAAGAAGAAAGAACAAAATAAAATTAATTTCATTTTTAGTTTATCGAAGCACCTGTTTTTTTTGTGGGCTGAATCCTTCGACGGTAATTGATACCATTGCTGGTTGTTCGGACTTTTGGTTATTCAAATCTTATTCTACCAAAGAAGAAAATTTTTCAATGTCAGTTTGAGGGAGAAAAAGGTGCTAGTTAATGTCTCTTCAAGAAAATAAATTCCAATCAAAGAATTATTTTCAGCTATCAAGAACTATATTTTTTTCTTTTCCATCCAGATGGAGAAATAAGGAGATGAAAACAACAAAGAGATGAGTGTTAATGGTGAAATTGCAGAAGAGAGACAAGGAAGATGAGAGAAGAAAGAGAGAAAAAAAAAAGAAGAAAAGGACGGAAGAGAAAATAGAAAGAATTTTTTTAAAAAAAAGACTGCCTTGAGAATTTCACGCGCTAAATTAACATGCAAATCACAACATATGCCATATCAGCTCAAAAGGTGGTATTAATTCCAATTTTTTAAAAAATACAAGGGGGTTATAGGATCCCCGCGAAATTAAAGGGTCCATCCGGTAAAACGGGGCAACCCCAATGGGATAATTATGTATTATCCCAAATATAATTCTGTAAAGCTGGTAGTGGTGATATTGAATTTTAAAGTTTTAGGGTTTAGTTATTACGAATTTAACCCCAAACATTCAATAATTCATGTTTTATGCAATTTTTGTCCAAATTAAGTTGGGCAATCTGTTACCCATATATTTAAAAGCAAAATCATATAATTAATTGTTATCATCATCGAAAGGTTGGGTTGGATTTGAAAAAAATTCATTAGGGCTTGTTCAAAAACTATTACCATTAAAATTTGATCATATAGATCAACTTTTAAATGTTATTATATAGAATTTGTTGTCCAAATCAGTCATAAAACACGTTTAGGACTTTAACTAATGTTTTATCTGAAAATAATCTGCCAAAATTACGATTTTTGCCAGATTTTTCAACCGACCTGTCACAAATATAAACCCACTGTTTCATGGATTTTTGACATATTTTTTTGATGATTTCTTAAGTAATAGGTGCTAGAATCAATCCTAAGATATATTTACGATAAAACTTTGTGGTTTAATTAATTTGAAATAGCCAAAAGGTAAAGAAAAAATTTATTGAGTCGCAAAAAAGCCCCTTTTACTGAAATTGGGTTGCAGGTTGACCCACCGGAGGTTGAAGAAGGGTTTTTGTGCTTGGCAGCCGAAGCCCCACGCGCGGTTTAGGGCGTGTTGAGGTGAGTGAGCATCACCCCTGGTTCAGTTTTTGATAATTTTTTTATTATTATTTTGCTCGAAATTAACTTTTGGATTTTTTTCATATTTTTTATATAATTTTTGGACACTAATATTTTTCTATAATTAATATCATTTTGAAATATAAATGTCGTATTAATTATTTTCTGTGGTTTTTTTTGAAAAATAAATAAATATTATTATATAATACAGCTAACATGTCTATATGACTCGCTCTACTCAGAAGTTTACGGAAAATAAATATTCTATTTTCTAAGTGAAATTATTTATAAATTTTGAATTTTCCTTGATTTGTTCTTGAAATATATAAAAATTATTTTTTAGATCTAATTGAAGTATACTATTGATTAAAATATAAATCTAAATAATATCTAAATTATCATTGATGTGTATATATTTTTTGCATATATACAACTTGTTTAATTGAAAAATAAAAATATTCATTGAACATTTTTATTTGGTGACTTGGCTTGATGTCACGACCCAAAATCCACCGACGACCGTGATGGCACCCAACCCGCTTGCTAGGTAAGCCAACACATAATAACAGTTATAAATGCAGATTATTAAGTTATTAACAACATCATGATATAGTTGTTAAAGTGGTATAGATCTCAAATCAATATCATAAATGCATAAGTCTAAGATAGGGTCTAAACACGACCACATTATCTCATAAAGCGCCCAAAATTCAGTGTCACGTCATCACAAATATCTATCAAGAGGAAATAGTCTCAACTAAATAGCAACATCTGTTCGAAAAGGAAATACGTAGACAGAGATACATAAGTAGGGAAGGGGGATTCCATGTACTGCGGATCGGATCAAGTAAAACAGCTCACTATGAAGTCTCTAAATGCACTCCCACTCTGTTGGATGGGTACCACTAGTACCGGCCTCAGACCTTGTACAGTAATATGAAGAAGTATAGTATAAGTATAAAAATTTCAGTACTCAGTAAGTATCAAGTCTAGCCTAGAAGAAGTAGTGTCGAAGGATCGATACTGATACCTACTAACAGTACAAATATCAAATGAGAGCATGAATAAGACACGAAATAAGGTATGACATATTCTAATAAGCACAAACGGATACAATATCAGAGTTATGGAATTTAGGCAGGCTTGTCAGATAAAGAGATCAAATACGAAGTCAAATACATCAATTCTTACATATAACATGATGTATCTCAATCACAGTTGTATAAACTCTACTGCATGAGTCTAAGATATTAATGTATGCTCAGAACCTACTCTCAATACCTCATAGCACAATTCATGTGCATGGCACAGTCCACGTGTCCAAATTAAGCACCAATCTGAATGTTTGTGCTCACGGAGCTCAAAGTAACATGGGTAATCGCCTAACTCTGGAGGGACGTATTTATATCCAAGTGCTATTGCAGCGTGCAATCCAATCCACTTATAATACAGTTGCAGCATGCAACCCAATTCAATTATATCAATCCGTACGGGCAACTCACGTGACGTAACAACTCAATCTGCCCACATGTCCCAATGTGCCAAAGTTATCAATTTTCTTAATACCAACTCTCCAACTCATACATATGTGTAAAATAATGCAATCAAGAAGTACCGAGACATAATAATTAAAATGCAGACATAATCTTACATAGATAAAAGATGGATATTGCTAATCACGTAATTTAATTCTTCATAATATTCAATAAGCCAAAATCAACATTCTTAAGTCTAATCATAAAATTTAAACATGAGTAAAATGAGCCATGTAGCCACTAAATCATGATTCAAATAAGATAAGTGTTGACTACAACCAATAAGAGAGCTCAACATAGCAAAATGAATCCTTTATGCACAATGGACAAGTTCTACCTTAGCATAGTTCTAATTGTAATGGAGGGCCATCACGTATAATGACATTCTTAAGTCATGAATATTTTGTCTCTTATTTTTCCCTGAACCCTATACTGTTTCATGACAACAAATAAACCTATTGTCTTAAATCATATTCTTTTCCTTTCTTTATACTTGTTTACTTCCGGAGATCACTCATTAGCAATTTGACTCCTCACAAAGCAGCTGGGAATAAATTCAATCATTAAGATTACAGCTTCTGCTTGATAGAACTGATACTAACGACTTGTTCAAAATCTGAAATATTTTTGACTAAACAAATTAACCTTTGAATGTTGGCGCAGAAAATAGAAGTCTGGATACTGAATTCTACCACTAAATGCAAATTTGAGCTGTTCTCTATGATTAATATGCAACCAACAACCATAAATTTAATAAGTACTTCACTTCCCATAATAAACGATCATATGGTTGCTTAGAATTTTGCTATTTAAATCTCTACTCATGGACGATGTTGAGGCTGTAAAGGTTTTAATTGGCACTTAATGTGATAAGTGATTTCTATTTTACAGTGTGAAACACGTCCAAAATCTAATTGCTTAATTTGTTCAGCTTTAAGTCCTGATTAAAATTATCAGACAGGCTCTTCGATGCATCAAGTAAATATGTTAGGGCTTAAGTAAACATTTGGCATTTAGAACTGGCAACTGCATGAGATGCACAGGTAATTCTGACAGAAATAAATTTTAATAAACTTGAGTAAAATAAGTACTTTCGCTTTTTCAAATTATGTGGTGGCGTTTGACTAGGCACCGAATTTAAGAAAGAAAAAAAAACACTTTTAAAACTTGTGGCCTTAAACATGACATAGCATATATTGTGTCTAAGAAGCATGCCATTAAGGGTGAATTTGGGAAATTTAAAGTTAAATTGTCTCCATTTCATATACCTGCTTCCATGCTTGGATTGCCAAGCCCCTTTTATCCATTCGCCCACTCAAAGCATCGCGTAAAATTGAAGGAAAGTAGCGCAAAGTTTTCTCAGACCAGGTATGCTGGCTAGTTGCTAGAATCTGTTCTAGCATTGTCTGAAGATACAGTAACTGATCAAACTCCCCGATTCCACAAGTTTTGATTATGATTGCAAGAGTAACAATTGTTATTCTATTTAAAGTCTCAGTAAACTCAGTTGGACCCTGCATAAAAAAGTTATAATTTGAGTTACAGAGCATTCACAAAAGTTCAGCTGGAGAAATATTCCTACCTTCCCTTCCCTCTTCACAGAGAAAAAATCTCTCAACGACAAAATCAGATTCATACATAAATTCTCAGCCAATCTGAAAATGCGATGATCTCCACGTTTCCCCTACAGCGTAGAAATCATTTTGGTGACATCATACATCAAGGTCTTGCTCTTGCCTTGATACCTAGAAAAGGGAAGAAGTTTATTGACTTTATTTTTTGTCAGTTATTTAGAGAATCAAGTTACAGAATCCTAACAATTGAGGAGGTGCAAAAAGAAAGTAATGCTATCTAAATGTAGAAATTTGAATGTACTATTCTTTAGTAAAAGCAACATTGATCATCCGTCACAGACATAAGTAGAGAATAGATAATAGAGAAGAAACTGATGAATTCCCAAGATGAGTAACTTCACTCACCTGTAGAGTGAAAGGAAACGGTAGTTAAGAATTTCAAACACCAAGATTGTGTTTCCAGGCTTGGTCAATGTGGTGGGATTCCTCGATGTCAGATGCTGCAATAGAAGTTTGCATCAAGAGCAAAACCTAATGAACTCCAGTAGAAAAGTGTGCAAGCAAAAACACAAGTTAGACTAACCAAGTCTCCTACCAAGAAAATGAAACTGCCTAGAAAGAAATTCCAGCAGCAGTCCATAATGGGAAGTCACAATTCGTCCGAAATAGCAAGAAACTAGAGGAAATTCACTAACATATTACACTGATTTCCCATCAAAAGATGAACAACCCTGATGTTCTAAACGTCAATACCACACAAGGGGGGATGATTTGTGTGATACCCAATTTTTCGATCTAGAAGAATCTGGTTCTTCTAGGTGTTCTAACTACTACTGTTGCGGAATTAAAAGTACAGAGTCAAAACACCTGGCTCAAAAGGTGAAAAAAATACAACCTACTACTCAGTAGGATTTTCCCAAATATCCACTAAAATCACCGAGTCAAAACAGCATTTACAAAACCTCTATGTAAACCTAAGGATTAACTCTAATCCCTGTGTAGCACACAGCCTCAACTGTTGCGACACCTTCAAGTTAGCCTATAACTTGAACACTCAAAGTACCTATTACAAATGCTTCTATGAAAGCTGAAAAGGTACAACTTTAAACCACCTACTACAATTGAACTAGAATAAGAATAAACACAACGGAACTGGTTCTTCTATCTCGTTCAAGTAGCTTCAGGTGTGCACACTTAAATCTCACATAAATTGCTCGCAAAATTGCCTTGCTCGTTTGCTCTCAATTTAGTTTAACTTCT